AGTGGGCTGATGAGACGGAATGACTACAAGATGACTTTTAGTTGGTATTCACGCATGGTTACATACACATTTTTCTAGGTTTATATACATATACATATATAAAATCTGGCATATACAAACTTCTTGTTGTGTGCCGTCGAGTTGATTTCGACTCATAGAGACCCTATGTAACAGAGTAGAACTACCCCATAGGGTTTCCTAGGCTGAAATTTTCACTGGAGCAGATTGCTAGGTTTTTCCCCTGGCAGAGCTGCTAGTGGGTTCAAACCGCCAACCAACCTTTCAGTCAGCAGCCGAGCACTTAAGCATCGTGCCACAAGGTCTCCTTTACAGACTGTGTGTGTGTGTGTGTGTGTGTGTGTGTGTGTGTGTGTATTTCTTACATTAAAATATTTAAATTATTTTTATCATTTTCATCTAGTATCCAAACACTGTCTACAATATGAATAAATGACAGGCCTAGACTGTGTTGTGTATGTTAGTTAAGATTACACTATGACTTTAAATTAAATAATCTGTCAAATAGTGTGTAATTATTCATTAAACTAATCCACAAATAGTTTCTGAGCTCCTATTATATGCCTAGATGTTCTACTAGGTCCTGGGGATACAACAGAGAACCAGACAGACAAGGTTCTGCCAGGTACTTGCTGTTGTTATCATGATATTAAATCTGTGCAGGACAGCATACGCGAAACTACTGGCAATGAGAAATACCAATAAAGGAGAGAGAGAGACAGATGGGCAGACAGACACACCATGACAGGTATCTAAAGCGAAATCCCAACTCAATACCTAACTTAGTACAATGCTACAATGAATAATAACAATAAAAAAACCCCATTGTCATTGAGTCGATTCCGACTCATAGCGACCCTAAAGGACGGAGTAGAACTGTCCTATAGGGTTTCCAAGGAGCAGCTGGTGGATTCAAACTACCGACCTTTTGGTTAGCAGCCAAGCTCTTAACCACTGTGCCACCAGGGCTCCAATAATAAGAATAGCTACCATTTATTGTCTACTAGGTACTAAGGACTGTGGTCGGCACTTTACGTGTTATTTATTTCTCATAACAATTCTGCAAAGTAGTTACCATTATACACATTTCATCAATTGAGTAAACCAGGATGACAAAATTTAAGTAATGGGCACAGGATCAAACAGCTACAAGTGCTGAACCAAGATTAAAATCCAAGTGGAGTAAATTTGAGGGTGACTAGGTTACTGTGATTTCCAGTTAAACATGACAAATTACACACGTGCATTTTTCTCTATTCCCTCCAAGAACTCCACTAAAATGACAGTAAATAAATTAAAAGGGCTTGTATTCTTAAGGAAAAAAAAAAAAGAACAAAATGAGAGTGGAAGTATTAACAAATTTGGGCACTGGAAAGCAGATGGGTAAGTGGCATTGGCTTGAGGAGACCCCAGAAAACTGGAAGCTAAGTGCTTGTGAGGGAGAGAGCACTGGTGAGGGAGCCAATCAAAAACTGAAGAAAAAGCAACGCGCTCAGAAAAAGCAAGTGAATTAATGCTGCGGAATTCCAGTAAGGCTCAGGAACTGGAGGCGTCAGGAAGCGTGGGGCAATGTGGTATAAGGTGGGGTTGAAGACAGGATTGTTTGAGGGTCTTTAAAAGGAGCAGTGGGACTCCCAGATTTCCTGCCCCCATTCCAGGCAGCGGTTTGGAGGACTTCTCTCTTGGAAAATTGCCTAGCTCAAGAGAACAGACCTACAGATACTGACTTTCTGAAGTGCCTGGGCCCCCTGCCTGGCCGCCCTAGAACAAAGCCTCCCTTTCTGGTCTCATCTTCTGCTACTCTTTCCACATCCGTCACTGAGCTGGAGAGGAAGCTGCTGTTCCTTATGCCAAATGATGGGAACCTGATTGGTCAGTTAATCAAATAAGTCAGTTAATACAAAGAGTCATGGAAAATGATATATATCATACTTAGATATTCACTTTCACCAGCTCATTCACCAAATTTTTGGAGGACCAAGGTATTTTTTTTTTTTTGCAGAAGTGTCCATTTATTGGAATTCCATTTGTGTTTCTTGCACAAACCACACTCCTAACACATCCTTTCCAGGTTTCATTTCTTTAACAAGGAATGAAAACCTAATGACACGTGTGAAGCAAAATGAGTGCAGAATCCTTCAACACCTTAAGAATACTGATGTTGAGAGCAGCCTTGGTGGCTCAGTGGTTAAACAAGTTTCTGTTTGAGTCTCTGCCTTCCAGTCTTTTCGGTATAGACCTAGGAGAGCAATTGCTGGGTCTATTGTTAGTTTTTGAGGAACCGCCACACAGTGTTTTCCCCAAGAGCTATACCATTTTGCATTCCCACCAGCAATGGGTAAGTGTTCCAGTTTCCCCACATCCTCGCCAACATTTGCTGTTCTCTGTTTTTTATCTTAGCCATCTGTCATGGATTGAATTGTGTCCCCCCACTGGTTTTTGTGACCAATGTAGTGTAGACACTATTATCCGATTTCCTTTCTTCTCCATAATCTGTTTTTAAACATCATAGTCAAAAAGATCTTTTTTAAAAACTTTGTAGTGAAATATATATATGCATTTTTATGTGTACAATTCAGTGACTTAATTACATTCACCATGTTGTGCAACCATCACCAATATCCATTTCTAAATTTTTTTATCCTTAACAGAAACTCAGCACTCCTTAAGAATACCTCTCCATTTCCTTCTTCCACCCTCCCATGCCACTAATAAACTTTGATCTCTATGCATTTGCTTATTCTATATATTTCATATAAGTGGGATCATCCAATATTTGTCCTTTTGTGTCTTACTTATTTCACTCAGCACTATGTTTTCAAGGTTTATCCATGTTGTAGCATGAATCGGGACTTCATTTCTCTTTATGACTGAATACTACTCCATTGTATGCATGCACCACATTTTATTTATCCATTCATCTGTTGACAGACACTTAGGTGGTTTCCACCTTTTAGCTATTGTGAATAATGCTGCAATGAACATTAGTGTACAAGTGTCTGTTTTAGTCCTTGCTTTCAGTTCTTTTTAGGATATACCTAGGGGTGACATTTCTGGGTCATATGGTAATGCTATATTTAACTTTTTGAGTAACCACCAAACTGTTTCCCATAGCAGCTGTACCATTTTACAATCCCACTACAATGGATGAGGGTTCCAATTTCTCCACATCCTTGCCAACACTTGTTATTTTCTATTTTTTTGATCACAGCCATCCTAGTGAGCGTGAAATGGTTATCTCATTGTGGTTTTCATTTGTACTTCCCTAATGACCAATGGAAGTGCCTGGGTGGTGCAAACAGTTAACTCTCCTGGTTGCTAACCATATGGTTGGCAGTTCAAGTCCACCCAGCAGTACCTCAGAAAAAAAGGTCTGGTGATCTCAGGTATTCTCCCAAACCAGTTGCCATGGAGTCAACTTCAAATCATGGCAACCCCATTAGTGTCAAAGTAGAACTGTGCTCCACAGGGTTTTCAACGGCTGATTTTTCAGAAGTAGATAGCCAGGCCTTTCTTCCGAGGTGTATATGGGTGGACTGGAGCCCCCAACCTTTCAGTTAGCAGCCAAGTCTGTTACCGCTTGTACCACCTAGGACTCCTCTAGGTATTCTAGGCTACTGCTCCTCTGCTCTCTTTTATCCATAAACAGGCTTCCAATCCTTTCCATATTGCAGAAAGTTCTGAGCTCAGCTCCTGTGTTCTTCCTTCCATTCTCTTCACTTTTATGGGTTTATTCCTTTGCTACCATTTAACAAGGAGGCAGGGGAGACAGATACTTAACCTCAGTCTACCCTCCTGAATTGAGGTGTAAACTTTGTTGCCTTTCTAATAAGAGTCCATTGTTACAGATTATCTAACAGGCCCTCTTCATGAACTAGCATCCTGGAGGTGGAAATCATGAGGAATACGACCATTTTCTAACATTCTGACCTTCTTTTGCATCCTGAACTAGACTGGCCAAGAAGACAGAGGTCTAAAATTAAGTGAGAGACTCCTGACCTCTGAAAATAATCCTTTGCTGGTCGCGGTGAGTCGGAATTGACTCAATGCCATCAGGTTTTGATTTTTCTTGTCTACTGTTGTGTGTTACAGAAAATTATTTGAAGTTCAGTTTATGAAGTTTTGTATGGGATGAAGACCAAGGGGATACTCAATAAATACATTTTTGTTTTCACTTGATTCTGTACTTTTTAAAGACTTGCTACTCCAGGATATATATGACTAGAAGGTGAGTTTAAAAAAAAAAAAAAAAAAGATACAGCTTGAATAAAATGTGAAATACTTGGCTCATGTTAGCGACGTTATTGTCAGGTCAAATAAATTTCAGATCTGGAATGTCTTCTTTAACCGTCTATATAACAGTATTTTCTAAATTACGTTTCGTGGGACACCTGTTATAGAGACAATCTGCTGAAAAAAGTGAGGTGGTTGATAAGAGGGAGCAACAGGTCATCTTTTATTCCCCTTCTTAGAAATTCATCATGCTTACGTTCAGAAGAAGGGTTTTGAGAGTTCTGCAGCAAAGAGACCTGTTTAATATTATAAATTTAGTTTTTGCCAAACTTATTTGACCACTACTCCCTTTTGTTTGGAGCGGTATCTATAAACATCATGCAAAACGTGTTTCTCAGAGTACAGTTTGGGAAACATTCCGTATAGGATTGCCTACTATTTTAATAGGATAATTTGTAAAATTTGGTGGCAACAACAATAAGCAGAATGCTACTAAGTTTCTGATCGGGAGCCTGGCGGTCAGTAAAGATCAGTGCAACTCCTTGTTACATTAGCCATGGTTGGGGATAAGCTTTCCACTAGGAAGGGATAAGGAACTAACTCTTGGAGGGCTGCACTTAGTGGATGTATGTTTACAACTCCTGTAGAGAAGCAATTTTTCTCAGGAGGTGCCAGCTCATCTAATACATCTTTATTAGACAGCAGTGACCTGAGATAATGAAAAAGAGCTTAACCACTGCTAACCTTACCTATTCCAGAAGAAGCCCTTTGCATCCTGCTGTGTTTCCCTGGCAACACCAACGGGCATGCTGGTTTTTGGAAGTCACTCCTCTGCGTGCTCTTGGTGTCGTAAGGTGGTTGAAAGGAATGTTCCAGTACTTTACCATGTGACCACCAGTCACCCTTTATAGAAAAAAATGGGAAACACGAAATTGGATACTGTGGGACACTTACATGTGTTGTTTGATATCTATTTAAGAACATACAGTAGTTCAATTCAACAAGGTATGTGGAAAATCTAGTGCTAAAACAGAGTTCTGAAATCAAGGAATAAATATCTTTTAACAAGTCTTTTTTACAAAGATATTTATTCCTTGATTTCATATATTTTAAAAAGGTAGCTAAAATGAATTGCCATATATTTTTAGCTAACATACAGCTGCTAAATTCTTAAACCACCTTCTAGCAACAGATGGGGTGGTAAAAATGAACAAAATAGTTATAATCCTATGTTTTGTATTATAATTTTATGATATATATGTACAAATGTATATCTACACATATGTTTGTATTATTGTTGTTAGGTGCCGTTGAGTTGATTCGGACTCATAGCGACCCCATGTGACAGAGTAGAACTGCCCCACAGGGTTTTCTAGGCTATCATCTTTACCGTAGCAGATGGCCAGGTTCTTCTCCTTTGGAGCCACTGGGTGGGTTCAAACCATCAGCCTTTCAGTTAGCAGCCAAGCACTTAACCGTTGCATCCCCAGGGCTCCTTATGTAGATATTAAACATGATTTAATATAAAAAATCATGTTCTATACTTTTCATTATGGCAATACAAAAAATGACTTTGTTATCATCTAAGGCAGTGTTTTTCGAAGTTTTTAGCCCACAACCCACACCATTAATATATGACATGTATTTTGTCATGCCAGAGCGCACAATGTGTACACATATATGAAACTGAAACAAGTTTCACAAAACTATACTGCTTCTTACTACACGCAGTGCACTCTAGTTTATATTCTATTCTGTTTTATTGCTTTTCCCTTCAATTTCATTTTACAATACTGATTGCAAGTCACTAAACTGATTTATGACTTACTAATGACTGTTGGAGCCCTGGTGGTGCAGTGGTTAAGAGTTACGGCTGTTAACCAAAAGGTCAGCAGTTCAAACCCACCAGCCACTCCTTAGAAACCCTATGGGGCAGTTCTACTCTGTCCTATAGGGTCACTATGAGTCTAAATCGACTCTACGCAATGGGTTTGGGTTTTTGGTTTCATGACTGTTAGAAAAGCTTTGTTCTAAGGGGAACATCCTCTCTGTTACTGAATATTGTGGTCCTAAAGCTTGACCTAGGTACACAGGACACAGAGAACTAATAGCTTCTTCATTAGCATGACTGAAAATTTACTGTCAACTTAATTCTGACCAAAAACAAAAAAAAGAACTGAGCGGTCATTCAGAAGTAGGGGACCTTTGGAAAAGGCAACTGTGACATGAAGGAGTTCTTGGATGAAAGTAATACTGGCTACAATCAAATATCTTACATTGGGCTTTAATGAAACAAACAAACGAACAGTTGCTGTCAAGTCAATTCTGACTCATGGCGACCTCACATGTGTCAGAGTAGAACTGTGCTACATAGGGTTTTCAATCTTTCGGAAGTAGATCACCAGGCCTTTCTTACGAGGCACCTCTGGGTAGATTCGAACCTCCAACCTTCCGGCTAGTAGCTGAGTGCTTATTAAATAAAATAAAATAAACTATGATTCCATAGTCAACTGCTTTAAAAATATGATCCAGAGGAATAAATATGAGATTGTAATAGATTCTAAAAAAATATGAGAATATAATTTAGGCTACACTGATACCAAACAGAAGAGGCATCTAAAGAAACCTATGTGGCTGCACAGGGAGTCAGCGCTCAAATGAGCTTAGTTTGAGAGGCGTCTATACAAGATAACAGGCGTGTAATGTCAAACCCCAAAAAATATCTTAATGGAGTCATCTTATCAGAAGATTGTCAAGAAGCTCAGAAATAGAAGAAACTGATGAAATATGCCAAGGGCAACAAAAATAGGGCTTTCTAAATAATAATAATAATAATAAACATCCCTGTGTTTGTAAGCAAAAAATCATGGAGAGGCTAAGAATTTGGAGAAGCGAGTACACTGTGCACAGCTGAAAGTCAGAATGACTCAGCTCCTATTTTGCTTTTGTTCTGGGGTAAGGCAAACTACCTCTAAGCTGAAAAAGATGGGACGAGCATATCAAGAGGGAAATAAGCCCTAAAGAAGGAGCGCTGGTGGCTCAGTGGTCAAGAGCTCGGCTGCTAACCAAAAGGTAGGCAGTTCGAATCCCCCAGCTGCTCCTTGGAAACCCTGTGGGGCAGTTCTGCTCTGCCCTATAGGGTCACTATGAGTTGGAACCGACTCCATGGCAATGGGTTTGGTTTTTATTTTATATTTTTTAGTCAAGGAGAGTTAGATCTCACTTTGTCACCTTAAGTGAGTGCCAGTTTTTTAGGCCAATGACAAAATTGTAAACAGGGGTGAAGAGTAAGTTTGCAGATGGAATCACAGTTTGGGAGATGAGAAAAGATCGGCCAATGCCTCACCTTAATTTTTGTAATTCACTAAAAGGTGAATTATACAAATTGAGAATACTCGATATAAATCCTAGGAAAATTCTAGAACAGATTACTAAACAGATGGTGTCTTCTCGCTATCTGGCTGAAAATAGTCACGTCTTCTGTTGTCAGAGCGCCTACTTGTTGCAGCTCGCCTCCACTCCGCAATTCTAATAGCGCTTACTGTGCCCCAAGGGCTAGGAGGGAGAGACCTCATCTGGCTTTTTCTCACCACAGTTCTCCAGGATTGTCAAACCCATTTTGCAGAGGAGAAAACCGCTGGGAGGTTAAGGAACTTGCCCGACGCATTTGACTAGCAGGCAGCAGAACTGCTGCAAGTCACAGCCCGCCCCACCTGTGCGCGCCCCTAATTTCTGGGCTACACTGCTACATCAAACCTGCCGTGGGCACGAAACCAGCTAAGCACAAGTTTCGATTATTCCAAAAGTAAAAGGAAAGAGCCTCCGAGTGTCCCGAGAAAGGGCTTCTAAATGTATGACTATGACCATGCACCGCCATCATCTTATGCACCTGAATGACTATGACCGTACACTTATATCACCACACACTTTATATCACCTACTTCTGTTGATCAGAAACTTTTTTTGCTCACATCCAGACTACTGGAAAAGTGGCTCTGGGATAATAATCACTAGGAAATGCCTGGAGGGTTTAATTTTTTCTAAAAAGTGTAATGCAAAAGCTATCGGAAGTCTGCCATCATTAAGGTGAAATTATAGTTCACCTTTTGAACAGACTTGTTTTGAATCAAAAATTTTACAAAAATAGTTCCACAAATATAAAGGAAAGAGGGAACAATTTTTAAGCGTTCTGTGCTGTATAAACTGGGTACATCTTCACTTCAGCAGAATGCAACCCCACAAGAGTTGGAAAAGTCTTGTGTTGCTCTGTCCTGTTTCTCCACCAACTGCCCTATGCCTGGAAAGCGAGCCTCGTTCCTGGAAGAGTGAGAACGCGTGCAGCTCACGTACGGGTACACGCTCTTCTTTCGGTCCAAGCATTTGCTCATAGGAGATTGTGAGATTAAAGAAAGAGAGAGGGAGGCCTGTTTTTCTTCACTGCACAGTGAAGGGAAAGGCTAAAAAAAAAAAATGGACTACTTTGTGTAGCATTCTTTACACTGGGCTGTAGGGTTTTATATCAGAGTTATTTATGACTAAATAAAGACCTCTTTAAAAAGCAAAGATGTCACCTCAAAGACTAAGGTAACCCAAGCCATGGTGTTTTCAATCACATCATATGCACGTGAAAGCTGGACAATGAATAAAGAAGACTGAATAAGAATTGATGCCTTTGAATTATGGTGATGGCAAAGAATACTGAATATACCATGGGCTGCCAGCAGAACGAACAAACCTGTCCTGGAAGAAGTACAGCCAGAATGCTCCTTAGAAGCAAAGACAGCGAGACATTGTCTCACATATTTTGGACATGTTATCAGGAGAGACCAATCCCTGGAGAAGGACATCGTGCTTCAGTCAGCGAAAAAGAGGAAGACCCTCAACAAGACAGATTGTCACAGTGGCTGCAACAATGGGCTCGAGCATAACAATTGTTAGGATGGTGCAGGACCAGGCAGTGCTTTGTTCTGTTGTACACAGGGTCCCTAAGAGTTGGCACCGACTTGAGGGCATCTAACAACAACAGCAAGCCAGACTGGGGATTGTCATCTACTGTGATTGCTTTGTGCAGGCTCTGGGGTTCAGATCACGTCTTGTGGACTGTGGAGAGGGTTTTGCCTAAAGAGAGCTGTCCCTGACTCACAACTTTGGATCCAGAGAGAGGAGGAGATCTTCCCTCGCGCCCAAGGCCTGGCTCCTTTCAGGCTGACCATCGGTGGGGCTGCTCCACGGTGGCGAGATTCCTCATGATGCAGCTCCCACTAACCCGCCACAGGACGGCATAAGGCCGAAGCACCTGTGAACCCTTTGGGCACGCTTGGAAGCCAGTGTGAGGCATTCTATCTTATCCTTATGCCCTCAGAAACATTCGTTTCTTTAGTAAACATTTCTGTTTTTTCCCATCTTTGGGAAATTAAAGAGAATTCTCTGGGGAGAAGTGATGAAAGCAAATGAGGCGTCCTAGAGAAGGAGGCCGTTAGGCGGTGTAAACCGAGCTCCGTGCAGTGCCCAAAGGGGCCTGGCCGCGATGGCTGGGGTGGTGTCACGTGTGGGGTATGAAACCACACCTTGAGGATTACCAAGAACATATGGATGTTCGACAATGCCTTACACACAATCACATTTTATTACTAGTGCCCAAAGGCTTTAAAAAATGGAAGTGCTGTCGCAAACACTAAGGCGGTCAAGGTCACATCATGTACATTATTCCTAAGCTCATGCCTATTTTGCTGCAGATACTACAAGGAGGGCTGAAAAAAAAATCTTTTTAGGAAATTCACACTGTCCCTAAAAAAACAACCGTTGCCATCAAGTGGATTCCGACTCATGTGTTCTGCGCAAACTAGTTTTGCATCATATTCGTAAGTGGAGGGTCCCAAATTAAATAACTTTGGGAAATATTGAGATGAGCAAAGTTAAACAAGTTTCTTCATCACAGGATTTCTCAGAACCTTTACATGCTAATGCAAATTGAGAAGCTCTGAGAAAGGGATATAACAATACAGCTTTCGCAAAACTTATTTAATTGGGAAACGTTATTTTATTGAGCACCTAAGCAAGGGCTAGTGTTCCGAAAAATATGTTTTGGAAAACGCAGACCTAGTATAATCTCTTTCGAAGTAACAATATTTAAAAATACAAAACAAACTAGTTTTCATTGGAAATGACCAAGCTCAAAACTCCTTTCTACTTTTTCTAGCATCTCCAATTTTAGGTAAAACTCTAAGCCCTGGAGGCACAACGGGTGAAGCACTTGGCTGCTGTCCCAAAGGTTGATGGTTCGAACCCACCCAGCGGCCCAGCCGGAGAAAGACCTGAAGATCTGCTTCCATAAAGATCACAGCCTAGAAAACCCATTAGGGAGGTTCTCCTGTCACATGGGGTTGCTATGAGTCGGATGGGCTCGACGGCACCCATCAACAACAGGTAAAACTGCGTAAGTTATTACTTCATTTTAAAATCTTATAAATAAATAAAACAAACCAATCTGGTTGTTGGGTTCTAAAGATATTATCTTTGCAAAATACATAAAACAACAGATATGGCATTTTAAATATTTAGGCAACTTCATTTTCTTTACTCGTATTTTCAAAGCCAGTATTACTATAAACCAGTTAAATCTTTTTAACCAAGCTAATCTTAAAACGAACAAAAAAACCGACCATCTTAAGTAAAAGAACAAAGTTTACAAATATGTGAAATAAGCATTCTTTATTACTCCTTGTTGTTGCTGCGTGCCATCGAGCCGACTCCGACTCCTAGTGACCCTATAGGGCAGAGGAGAGCTGCCCCATAGGGTTTCCAAGGAGCAGCTGGTGGATTTGAAACTGCTGACTTTTCGGTTAGCAGCCTGAGCTCTTAACCACTTGGCCACCGGAGCTCCACTTATTACTCCTTAAGTACTTGGAAATGGGTACATTTAAGGTGGTTTTTGTTTTTTTAATAAACATTCCCCTCCTTCCATCCCAAATCAAATACCGTTTTAATTCTGTAAGGTATCTTGGGTCTTTTCTCTCTGCTAACTCTCCTCATTCATATCTACTCCCAGCTTCTCTGTACCTAATGTTTTACTTGATTTCAAACTTACTTTCATTATCTCTTTAAGGTCTCTGACTCATTTAGCCTTTAGTGTTAATAAACAACGATCCTACTGCTACTGCCACCTATTCTTGCTGACGGCAACACCTAACACCTGTGTTCATTTCTTTTTTAAATTCGTTTATTCTTTAATAGAAAATTAGTTGGTGCTAATTTTTGAAATCTGTATGTTTCTTATTTCTCTTCTCAAATCTGGAGCCCTGGTGGTGTAGTGGTTAAGAGCTCGGCTGCTAACTAAAAAGGTCGGCAGTTCGAATACACCAGCCGCTGCTTGGAAACCCTATGGGGCAGATCTACTCTGTCCTATAAGGTTGCTATGAGTCAGAATCCACTTGACGGCTATGGGTTTGGTTTGGGTTTCCTTCTCAAACCAGCTTCTTGTCCTTAGTGCCTCAAGTTAAGAATGGGTTCAGTTAAGCGTTCACTTTGGATTCCACCCTGAACTAGAGCTAAGGAGAGTCACTCTTAGCTTTTGAAAGAACTATGAGAACTTCACCAACCGGGACTTCTGTGCTAGATTTTTCACCCAGCGTAGGCTTGGTCTAACAGTAACGACAGATTTCTTTTAAATTACAAATAATTGATGCAAGACCACCTGCAAGGGCAAGTTTATAAAACAAAGCAACCTTGAAACTGCCCTTGTTTGGGTTTATTATCACTACTTCCTGCCCCTGCGGAGATCTCACATTCACGCACAGTGCCACCGGGCACCGGCTGTTTTCTGACTGTCAATGTCGTCAGTGTAAGACAGCTCGCTAAAAACAATCTCTATTTACACATTGAGTTAGAGCACAACTTACACCTAATTTGGAGCCCTGGTGGTGCAGTGATTAAGAGTTTGGCTGCTAACCAAAAGGTCAGCAGTTTGAATCCACCAGCTGCTCCTTGGAAACTCTATGAGGCAGTTCTACTCTGTCTTATAGGGTTGCTATGAGTCGACTCTACAGCAATGGGTTTGTTTTGATTTATATCTAACTCAGCTCACTGGCAGGGAGGAGAAAAGAAGTAGAGTAGGGCAAGGCCGACATTGCCATTGTTGTCTGAGACCATCTAGATGGTACGCATTTCCTTTTTCAAATATCATGCTGAAAAATTATTATCTCTGGTGTGGAATAACTTGAACACATCTGTGGAATACACACTGGGCCCAGCACTGCACTAGGCCTCTACTCGGGCAGGAGTCCTGCTCTCAGCTGAAGATGGTGGGCCACCTGGTCACCGGGGTTATGAACTGTGAAGAGAGCAGTAGACCAGGATCCTACTGATGCTAGGAGCTACTGTGTAGTAGGTGCTTCCTTTCACACATAATGAACCCCTTCTCTCAGGTCACAATGTGCTCTCTCCCTTACCCGGTGTCATGGACTGAATTATGTCCCCCAAAAAATGTGTGTATCAATTTGGCTGGGCCATGATTCCCAGTATTGTGTGGTTGTCCTCCATTCTGTGATTATATTTTTATGTTAAACAGGATTAGGGCGGGATTGTAACACCCTTACTAAGGTCACAGCTCTGATCCGATGTCAAGGGGAGTTCCCCTGGGGTGTGGCCAGTACCATCTTTTATCTTGTAAGAGATAAAAGGAAAGGGAAGCAAGCAGAGAGTGGGGGACCTCATACCACCAAGAAAGCAGTGCTGGGAGTAGACCATGTCCTTTGGACCCAGGGTTCCTGCACGGAGAAGCTCCTAGTCCAGGGGAAGATTGACAAGGACCTTCCTCCAGAACCAACAGAGATAGCAAGCCTTCCATTGGAGCTGACGCCCTGAATTTGGACTTCTAGCCTACTAGACTGTGAGAAAATAAATTTCTCTTTATTAAAACCATCCACTTGTGGTATTTCTGTTATAGCAGCACTAGATGACTAAGATACCCTGTCAGGTCTTTACTCAAATATCACCTTCTTGGTAGACCCTCTCTGACCACTTATTTAAGATTGCTCCTCTGTCTCCCTTATTCCTTATCCTCCTCCATGCTAGCACTTACTACCATCTGACATTCTATATACGTTATTTATTCTATTTATTCCCGCACTAAAATGTAAGCTATGTGAGGATGGGATCTTTTTTTCTATTTGTTTTGTTCATTTCTGCATTCCCTCAGTGCCTAGAACAATACTTGACACAATTGTTTCATTTATTTTAATCCATACAAAAATCCTATAAGGAAGACTGCTACTATCCTTGTTCTATAGACAAGGAAACTGAAGTTTAGAAAGAGCAAGTGACTCGCCCAACGTTACACAGTTTGCGTGTGGTATCAACAAAAAAGAATGAACTAGTGTTACATGCAACAGCATGGATGAATCTCAAATGCATTCTCCTGAGAGAAAACAGCCAGGTTCAAAAAGCTACATACAGTCTGACTCAGTTTATGTAACTTTCTGGAAAAGGCAAGATTAAAGAAAACAGATGGTTTCCAGGGGCTGGAGTAGGGGAGGGGATGACAAGGAGCCACAGGGGAACTTTCTAGGGTGATGGAAATGTTCTCTATCTTGATTGTGCTGGGGTGACATGACTGTATGCATCTCCCAAAACTCACAGAATCGTACACTAAAAATCAAATTCTACTGTATGTAAATGTGGTAGGCAGAATGCCCACTCTGAACTTGTTCACATCTGTGAATATGCTACTTTACATAGCAAAAGGGACTTTGCAGATGTGATTAAAGACCTTGAGATGGTAAGATTATCCTGGATTATCTGGGTGGGCTCAACGTAATCACAATGATCCATATAAGAGGAAGGCAGGAGAAGGAGTCAGAGAGAGATCTGAAGATGTTACATTCCTGGCTTGGAAGATGGAGCATGGGACCATGAGCCAAGGAATGCAGGCAGCCTCTAAAAGCTGAAAAGGCAAGGAAACGGACTAGAGCCTCCACAAGGAACTCAGCCCCTGCCACCACCTCAATTTTAGCCAAGTGAGATGGATGTTGGACTTCTGACCTTCAGAACGCTAAGAGAATAAATTTGTGTTGTTTTAAGCCACTGTTTGTGGTAATTGGTTACAGCATCAAGAAGAAACCAACACAGTAAATTATACCTCAACAAACCAGACTTAAAAGAAAAAAGATAATGATACATTTTAGTATGGCATAGTGAATGAGAGTGTTGTTTGAGTAAACCACCAGTTCTGGGTCGGAAACGTGGTCCCTCACTTGCTTACTAAGTAAACTTGGATAAGTTAATTAACCTCTGAAGTTTGTGTTATCATCTGAAAAATATTTCTAAGGATACCTCCCAGAGATTGTACAGATTAAAGGATATACTTTACATAAAGCACTTAGCTCACTTCTAGCACTTTATATGCTCTCAGTAAACGGTAGCTATTATTTTACAAAATGTATCTGAATATCATGGGAAAAATTACTGAGTATCAAGGGAAATTTTAATATTAGAATGTGTCAGAAATATAATATTATAGAGGAAATTACTTCAATAACTCTCCAAGTACTACTTAGTGGCTATAAACTGACTCAGTCTAAGAAAGTAATTATTTGGAATAATTATTTGGTTTGGATATATATACGGTTTGGATGTACAAGTTATCTTCAAGAATAGTTACAGACTACTGCTTTCAACTATTGGTTAATAAAGGTACTACTCTGAGAAGTGTCACATCCGTTAAATAGGCTGTGACCAATTTATCCAGCAGAACAGATTCTAAATCTAAATCTTCATTTGTACATAACAAACATCCATCCAACCTGCTTTTCTGGCCCTCTTCTGGGATCTATGTAGGGAACTGGCTCATTGCATGTTCTTGCATTTGTGTTAATGAACTTAGCATAATATATACGTCCCCTCTTGACACATGGTTTTGAATGCTGTAAGATTTTTCCAGGTTCTTTTTCATGTTTGATTTCTTCTTTTTGTTCAGTGACATGCACAATAACCGCATCTTCTATTTTATGTTGTCTGAAAAACATAATTAAATACTAAATCATTTATCCCAATAGGCACTTTAGTATTGAAAGAGTCATAATTACATAAAATAAGATTTAAATATGTTTCAAGCATCAGTCAAGACAACTTAGGCTTTGTAAATAGTTATAAGGAGTTTGTGCTGTTAAAATTTGGGACAGCATTTTCTCATTCTAAATTATTCAAGGGATAAAGAGATCTTTGGCAACAAAGTATCTGATAAGGGTCTAATCTCTAAAATATAATCTCTGAAATATAGAGAAAACTTCAACAGCCCAAAGATGAACAATCCAATCAAAAAATGGGCCAAGGGCATAAACAGAACCCTCACCAAAGAGGACATTCAGGCGGCTAATAAACATAAAAAGATGCTCTGGATCATAAGCCACCAGAGAGAGGCAAATCAAAACTACAATGAGATACCATCTCACCCCTGCAAAAATGGCACTGATCAAAACAAACAAACAGAAAACAAATGCTGGAGAGGTTGTGGGGAGACTGGAACTCTTACACACTGATGGTGGGATTGTAAAATGGTACAACCACTATGGAAATCAGTCTGGCGCTTCCTGAAAAGGCTGGAAACAGAAATACCTTGTGACTCAGCAGTCCACGCCTAGGTATAGATCCTAGAGATATAAGAGAAGTGACACAAATAGACATATGCACACCTGTGTTCCTTGCAGCATTATTCATAATAGCAAAAAGCTAGAAACAACTTAAGTGCCCATCAATGGACAAATAGATAAACAAATTGTGGTACATATGTACAATGGAATACTATGCACCATAAAGAATAATGAGTCCACGAAGCATCTTATAACATGGATGAGTCTGGAGGACATTATGCTGAGTGAAATAAGGCAATTACAAAATGACAAATATTGTATGGTCTCATTTTTGTAAAAAAGTCAAGAATAGGTATACACAAAGAAAGCAAGGTTCTTTGATGGTTACCAGGGATAGGAGAGGGAATCACTTTCTAGATAGTAGACACTTGTTATTTTTGGTGATAGGAAAGACAATACCCGATATGGGTGGAGTCTGCACAACTTGACTAAGGTAAATGAAAACACAAAGTACACAAGAATAAGGGATAATTTTTATAAATGCTAGAACATAAAAGTTTGCAACAACAGTAATAACAACCAAAAAATATGTGTGTGGTTATATAGGAAGATATGTATGTATAAATGTATATAGGAAGCAATATGTGAGTACATGTATGTGCATGTATAGGTCTATCTGTAGGCATATTAATACACATGTTTGTGTGTGCTGTGTATATATCCATATATATAACAAAGCACATGGGGGCAGTTACAGAGACTTTCCAGACATATCCAAACACCTGGAGGGACTGGTTTACTGGGTTAAAAAAGGCTTAGGACCGTAGTCTTGTGGGACAACTTGGTCAGTTAGCATAAATAATTCATAAAGATAATGTTCCACATCCTAGTTGAGTGAGTAGCATCTGGGCTCTTAAAAGCTTGCAAGCAGCCAACTCAGATACAACTATTAGTCTCCACTCGCCTGCAACAAAAGAGAATGAAGGAAACCTAAGACTCAAAGAGGAAACTAGTCCACAGGACTAACAGCCCACATGAACCATGGCCTCTTCTAGCCTGAGACCAGAATAATTAGATGGGCCTGGCTACCACTACTGACCATTCTGACCAGGGACATAACAGAAGGTCCTGGATAGAAGGGAGAAAAATGCAAACAAAACTCAAATTCCTAAAAAAGGCCAGATTTACTGGACCGATAGAGACTACAGGAACCCCTGAGACTATCTCCCTAAGAGCCCCTTTGAACTTGGAACTGAAGCCACTCCTGGAGGTCACCTTTCATCCAAATACTAGATTGGCTTACAAAATAGACAGTATCACCCATGAGTTCTGTGCTTCCTGAAATAAGCAACTACATAAGACCAAATGGTCAACATTTACCCTAAAGCAAAGACGAGAAGGTAAGGAGGGGCAGAGAAGTTAGATTGATGGAAACAGAACAAACAGAAGGGAAATGAGAATGCTGACACATTGTGAAAAATGTAACCAATGTCACAGAAAAATCTGTGTGAAAATTGTTAAACGGGAACCCGATTTGTTGTGTAAACTTTCACCTGAAACACAATATTCTTTTTTTAAACAAGGAATAAGGGGACTTGTATTAACAACGATTCCTCATGACAATCTACCAGTGCAGTGTCAGTGCAGTGTCAAGACTGTCATTTGCTTAAAATAAAAAAAACAACAGTAATGATTTGATCATGTTACAAATCATGTTTGCAATATTTGTGTGTGGCTAAGGCACAATGCTAATTTTATCTCATCTTCTACAGTACCATGACATTTTTTTTTTTCCTTTACCTAGTAAACTCAGTCATCTGGAAAAGGATAACTAGTTAATGTTAAAAGTTCACCTGGCAAACTTATAAAACCTACCAAATGACCACCATTATTTATCTTTTTTAAAAAAGGCCAGCGTGGGCATTAGAACCAATTCAATCTCTTAACATTTATTGCTTCTAACAACTACACTTAATACAAAAATGAAAATTATTGAAATGAAAAGAACATTAAAGAAACATTTAGAAAAATATGTTAATTTTCTTCTCCTTTTAAATAATGAGTAATAGACATTATAAAAGATAGTATTTTGAAATTTCACACACTTGAAAAATAAAGAACAAAATATATGAATTTTAATATTTTTGTAGAAGAAGTTTTAAAAATGAAAGCTCTGATCCCAAGGAAAGTGAGTCAATAAGATTCCAAATTTAGTGAGAAAGTGGGTAGTTCTGTTTAGCTGTTGTTATGGATTGAACTGTGTTCCCTAAAAATATGTGTTGTAAATCCTAACCTCTATGCTTGTGGTTATAATCCCATTTGCGAATGGATTGTCTTTGTTATGTTAATGAGACAGGATTAGTGTAGGGTGTATCTTCAGTCAATCTCTTTTGAGATATAAAAGAGATTAAACAAGCGAGCAGAAGCAGAGATGAGGGAAGAGAGAAGTCAAGCCACAGGAAGATCACCCAGGAGCAGAAGACCAAAGACACAAGGACCTTCCTCCAAGCCTACAGAGAGGGAAAGACTTCCCCTAGAGCCAGTACCCTGAATTCAGACATCTAGCCTTCTCAACTGTGAGGAAATAAACTTCTGTTTGTTAAAGACACCCATTTCTGATATTTCTGTTATAGCAGCACTAGATAACTAAAGACAGAATTTGGTACCGGAAAGAGTGGTGTGTTGCTCTAACAGATACCTAAAACGTGGAAGTGGTTTTGGAATTGGGTAATGGATGAAGGCTGGAAAAGTTTTAGGGTACCTAATAGTAAAACCCTAGATTGCCCTGAAGAGATTGTTGGTAGAATTATGGACGGCAAAGGCAATTCTTGTGAGGGCTCAGAAGGAAGTGAGGAGAGCTATAGGGAAAGTCTCTATTGTCTTAGAGAATACATATGGCACCAGCAACAGAATGTGGCTAGAAATGTGGATGTTAAATGTGCTTCTGGTGAGGCTTTAAAAGAAAATGATGCATGTAACTGGACAGTGGAGGAAGGGTCATCTTTTTATGCAGTGGCAAAGAATTTGTTTGAATTATGTTCAAATGTTTGGTGGAAGACAGAATTTCCTATGATTAACCTGAATAATTGGCTGAGGAGATTTCTAAGCAAGGTGAAAGGAGATTTCTAAGCAAGGCCACATGGTTTCTCCTTGCTGCTTATAGTAAAATGCAAGAGAAAGAGAGGGGCTTAAAAATAAACTGTGCAAAATGAAAGCAAAATTTAAGGATTTGGAAAATTCTGTTGCACAAACTAAGGACATGTATCCTAGAATTTACATCAAGGATATGGCTATACAATCTTTTGCTAAAGAGATTAAGTCTGTGACTGATGGATCTAACCAACTACCATAGCAGAAAACCTTCAGCTTAGACTAAAGGGGACGGAGAAAGAATGAAAGAATGCTGTCTGCATCTTGGAATTCTACAAGCAGGAAACAGCCCAAAGAAACTACATCTGCTGTCCTCCAACAAAAGAAAAGGACCATTCCTGGAGCAGTTCAGAAATCAGCAGAACTACTGGGAGGGGCACTGGAAGCAGAGCCTTCTCAGTTTCAAAGGGTGGGGCCATGGTCTCCTGGAGGTCAAACAGTCAGGCTACAGCCTCCTAGATTTCAAAGAGTTGGATCTTCGCCAACTCAGTTCCAGAGTGTGGGGCTGCTGTTAAGGTGTGCCAGGAGGATGAGGCCGCCACCCAAAGTTGAAGAGGTAGGGCTGCTATGCCCACAGTCAGAAGAACGGGGCATGCTGGGGCCGAGGGGGTGGGGTCACCACTCAGATAGACTAGGAGAATGAGGCTGCCTAAAGCCGAAGGAGGAGAGTTTCCGTCCCAGTGGGCCTAGAAGGGAGAGCTGAAGCCCAGGGTTGAGGGGCTACCCCCAGAATCCAGGAGGCTTGGCCAACACCTAGACTCCGGAGGGTTGGGTCATTGTGCAGATGGTCTCTTATTTTCAAGCCTTGGGAGCTAATGTAATTTGTTCTGTTGGATTTTGGACTTGCTTGGTGCCCATTATCCCTTCTTTCCCTCCAATTCCATCTGTAACGGAAGCGTCTACCTTGTGCCTATTCCACCATTGTACTTTGGAAACAGATAACTTGTAGTCTAGATTTCACAGGTTCACAGACAAAGACTAAATTTGCCCCAGAATGGAATATGTTTAAAGTCTCACCCATATTTGATTTAGATGATTCAGAACATAAGATTTTGAACTTGGAGTGGATTTAAGACTTTTGAAGAGGAATGGCATTACAGTCATCGTCAAAAAGAACATTTTAAGATCTATCCTGAAGTACAACTCTGTCAGTGATAGGATAATATCCATATGCCTACAAGGAGGACCAGCTAAGACGACTATTATTCAAATCTATGCACCAACCACAAAGGCCAACGAAGAAGAAATTGAAGATTTTTACCAGCTTCTGCAGTCTGAAATTGAT